GCTTACTACTGCAGCCTTTTAAGAGTGCTATTAGCTCTGATTTTTCATTAAGTGGCTTGCTTGGAATAATTGTGTTCTTTTCTATTCTATATGCAGCAGAACATAGTCTAGAGAACATCTCAGCTAGCAGTAGTCATAGGATTGTATACTTCTTTTTGAGTACATTGATAGCTTGTGTGAGTTACTGAAATGACACGCATGTATATTTTTTGAAATAGTAGATGATTAAATTTTAATATTTTTAGGTACCCATGGAGGAGGAGGATTTCAATTCTTATGGTGCATCTGCAAATGGTGACAATATTTGTACTTGTTCTAATCATGTGATGGTTGACAACCATTTTTTCTATTTGTTTTCAGTCCAAAGACAATGTGAAATTAGTTGCAGTGAAGAATATCCAAACTGTTTCTAGTCCTAACTTGCATGTTTCAGACCTAGAAACTATTCCCTGTCATTCAAAAGAAAATCAATTGGCTAAAAATGCAGCTCGTGGTTTGGATCGTACTGGTTAGTATCCATTTTTTGATTGCACATTTATTAGCAGTAAATTGCACATTTGAACTACTGCAATTATGGTATTTGACATGTGCAATATCCATTCTTCTCACCTATAAGTTTCGATTTTGTTTACGATTTTCCATTTGATTAATCAGGAAAAGCAACTGTTTAGAAACCTTGTACTAAAAACACTCCCTACTTTAATATTCCAAGTGCACCTTCATTTTGATTGTTTGATGATGAAGATGACTTAGGGAATTTTGTTGAAGATCCTAAAATGAGGCGTCTCCTTGGTACTAAAAACCCTCAGAAGATGTCATTCAGTTATATATTAGGTCTTGATTCTGTCATTTATATAGAAGACATTTCATGCTTGAACAAACATGTCTGAATTTAAATGGCTAAGCTACGAAGGGTTGTACACCATGGTTCTGGAGAAGGATGGAGAGATCGTTTCAGCAGCAGGTTTGTACACCAACTGAATTTTGAATACTTGTACTATGTAGTATCCTCTTCTTGGCTCCTCTTCATGGCTGTTGTAGTAGAATAGTAGGAGCTCACATCATTTTAGTTGATTCTAATCTAGTACAAGAAAGCTGTGTTTAGTATCCATTTCTTGATTGCACATTTATAAGTAGAAAATTATACACTTAAATTTTTGTAATTATGGTGTTTACGATGTGCAATATCCAGTCTTTATATATAACTTTCACATTATTTGTTTTCCTTTTTTAATTGATTAAGCAGGAAAAACATATGTTCAGAGAGCTTGCACTAGGAAAACTCTTTACTTTCATAGTCCAAGTATACTATCATTTTAGGGTTGACATTTTTTTGTCATTTCTGCAAAGTTTCCTGAGAACCTGGAAAGTAGGACTCCATTCATTGACTACTAACTCCTTTGTTGATGCAGTACAACATCTGACAAGAAACTGAACGGGTCCTTTTGATGCAGCCAATCTTTAGATGAGAGACAGTGGCCCGGAGGTGATGCTGAGGTAGACCTCAAGGCGAGCGAGAGCTTCATGAACCAGATAACACTGTAGCTAGAGGTGCAGCCGTCTGATTTATGTCTACCAAAGGTGCTAGAATTCGTGTGCTAGTACTCTGTGAAACAACTGAATTTTAGTGCCGATGGAAATCAAGTGTTTTAGATGGATCTAGCAACCCGAGTGCTAGTTGCTTCTAAAACAAACGGATGTAACATAGACAGACTCATTCGGTATACTCCCAGCAGGCCAGCAGATGACACACACGCAACATGCAAATCTGCAACGGGAGTCCCCATCGTCTTCGTTCTTCGCTTCACATAAAGCTGTGGTGAGCCTGTGATATGAGCAGGACAAGGAGGACTGGTCCACGAAGAAAGGAAAGGGAAAAAAACCTCTGCCGCCTGAAATTTTCATGGAGGCGCACTGTTGATGCGCCCATATGGAGTGGAGTAGGATGGTCCAGACCTAAAGTGCCGGACAGAGATTTTACTACTATGCTACTTTCTCATGTGAAAAGATGCCTCTGGCAGTCGTTAGCTTTGAGTGGTCAGATCTTGACTAGGCGCAGAGCAGTGCAGATGGTCCTCGCATTTTTTTGACCGCGCGCCCGATAGTTTTATTCACACGACGTTGGCTGGTGCAGCTACTACACATACTACTCCGTATGCATATGCTGCTGCGCCTGGTCGATCAGAAACGATCACCGATGAATCGAGGATGGACCTCTTCTGACTTTGCAGCGGTAGTTACTGCACCGCTCCCTAGGTCGCTGCTAGCCTCTACATAGATCGACCAAACGCAAAGTACTGCCGCTACCACACTAGGTTTAGCTAGCTACACCGTACCTAGGTTCAACTAACACTGCAAAAAACTAGGAGTAAACTCCCGATAGATGGATCGAGGGATCCATCATCCACGGCCGTTCATTGCATTGGCCAAGAACGTACTACGTGCTCGATGGCCCCTCAAAGAAAGAAAAGACGGTACTCATTCAGTCCCGAAATACCATGACTTTGTCCTAAATCAAACTAGCTTAAGTTTAATCAAGTTAGTAGAAAAGAACAATGTATATGATATCAAATTAGCATTATAGATACATTATGAAATATATTTTTTATAATTTATGTCTCTAATATTGTAGAAGAAGATGTTAGCTATATAAACTGGTCAAACCTAAAATAGTTTTAGACTCCAGACAAAGAAAGAATATTTTCTTTCTACTCTTTCAAATGAATAATATTTATGATACAAATTAGTGTCATTAAATATATTGTGAAATATATTTTTATATTTATCTATTTGATGTGATAGATGTTAATATTGTTCTGCATAAACTTATGATGTATTTGGTTCATAATACCATAATTAGTCAACAACAAGCTTGTAGCCATGCTGCAAGTGCGTCCGAATTTATTGGCACTAGACTTTTGGCGATATGTGGCGCTGAAAATAAATCGAGCAACGTCAGGAAAGGCTCGGTACGCCACAAGTCCGGTCATGAAGCAAACACATGCTTCGCTTTAGTGGAGTGAGCTATAGCAACATGTGCCATGTTCTGGTTACAAACCAAACACTCTCTAGGCAAACTAAGAATCTCTTATATTTCAAAACAGAGGTGTTACTTCTTTTCGCTTCTCGTCGTGTCCCTAGCTAGTCTACATGCCCCGGTGCTCATTCTAGCTAGCTAGCGCACAGAGATGATACGTGTACTACTGTTGGTGTCATGGGGTGTTCCTTGCAGACCTTAGCCATGGTGGCCGGCCGGGTGCATGAACGGCCATCATCTGAGCAAGTAAACGGACATAATTGCTTTCGGGATAGCTCACATGCGTCCATAAATAACGCTTTGCAGAAGAAGAGGCACTGTTCATACACATATATACGAAAGAGTCGTGTGCATTCTGGGCTGCCCAATTGCACGTTCCTTTGCTACGATGGATATGGCTAGCTTGTCTGGTGTGCAGCCAAACTCGAGAGATTTCACACAGCAAACACAGGGGGTGTACGGTGCGCGCAGTCGCAGAGACGATGGACAGCGCTATAGCACTAAGACGGCAAGGAAGCCGGACGCCTTTTGGTGGCACGTACTGGAGCTAGCTAGCGTGCGTGACTTCTCGCCCCGGCCGGGCCGGGGCTCTCGGTCGCCGATCGATCGACGACCGCGGCATGTGGGGGCGCGTGTCGCGGAGGGCAACGCAACGGGTGATCGGTCGGTCGATCGGCTAAAGGCCGGATGGTCGATTTCAAGACAGCGCTATATACTGCGCTCTAGCTAGCTACTCGGTTGACGCGAGGTCGCGAGTCTTTTCCTGATCCGCTCACCGATTCCTTTCAGGCTTGTGGGAGAATTAAAAGAAGGGACAAGTCCAAGTGGGGGGAGAGGTCGACGCGCGCACACCTAGCTAGCGCGCGCAGAGCTTTGTCACGACGCCGTGCGCGTGCCGTCGGCGTCGGCGGCGTCCGTGCACCAATCGGTCGTGTGCTCGTCGTAGACGTAGCTCGCTAGCCAGTAGCCACAGTCGTCAACCGGCTGCTACTCGGCTAGTCGCTACTAGCTAGTATCAGTAGCTAGCTTGCATATCGCAACAGTGCACGGCGTGCCGAGCGGGGGCCACGGACGCCATGCATACGCTTGCCAAGTAGAGGCGGCATTTTGCCGCAAATTAAATCTCCAAGTAAACGCGGCGTTTCACGTTCCAGCGTACGGACAAAACTGGACCGAGCGCCAGGAAGCAGCCATGAAACCATACATATACAGTAAGTACTACATAAATACACAGCGGTGGTTGCATTTCTTAACCATGGCATGGTGAGTGAAAAATAAAGCACTTAATTCTCGTAGGACGTACGTACTGTACGTAGCAAGTATAATTAAAGTCGTTAATAAAAAGGTTGAACAGTACATCATCGTGATGGTAATTAATTTGCTCTAGGGTAGTAGTGGTCGGTCGGTTGTCTCTTGACTGTAGAGAGAGCTAGCCAACTCGATCCAAGCCACCGACTAAATTTACAAGGAAACAGTACAAGTGAAGGGAACATCAAAAGAAGAAGCTGAGGCGGCGGTACGTGCGAGCTAGGAGGAGGACATACACAGAGAGATCACATGGAGCTAGCCATCATATGGATCGGAGGACGACGACGAGAAGATCGACGAGAATCGAGAGAGTGCGAGGAGCTAAAGTGAGGAGTTGAGGAGGACAGCTTGCTTAGGCCCTAGTGCTAGTAGTACCCTACCCAGTGAAGCTTAGCAGAGACCATCATACGTGTGCGTGTAAGCTAGTACATTGATCTAGGGAGAGGTAAAAGGAAGAGAAAGATACACATAATACTTGGAGAGAGAGAGAAATATATATACCCTAGCTAGCTAATTGAGCTCAGCTCCCGCACGTGGCCAGCCGGATCGGGCGGAGAACGGATGCGCTCGTCGTCGTCGGCGAGCCCGGCGTTGACCTCGCTGGCTCTCACGCGCAGCCCAGCCCGGCGCCGGCGCCGCAGTAGGAGGTACGTTATCAGGAGCGGAGGATGCTGCGGATGATCTCCGCGCCGGGGCTGTTGTGGTCCATGGTGGACATGAGGTCCGACAGCCGGTCGCTCAGGTCGTCCACCTCCCGGTGGAGGCTCTTGATGTAGCTGCAGGTCTCCTTCAGCAGCTTCGTCGTCGACGCCTGCATTACATTACATCAGCGCCGCGCGCATTAGATGTTTCAAACAGAAAAGAGAGCAATCAACAGCCCCGGAACCACCTACTTAACTATTAGCTTGGCCACTCAACCGAACTACATCACTGTTTATGGACTAAGAAGCTAGCTATCTCTACGGCATGGTTAACGAGTTGAGCGAATGAATAATGACGCGAACGCGAGTTGAGCGGTCATCAGTTGGCAACGACGACGCACCTGGCCGGAGCCGCGGCGGCGGGAGCTGGGGAGCAGGGCCTGGAGCTTGGAGATGAGCTCGTTGATCTCGTCCTCGGAGATGTTGCCACGCGACGACGACCTTCGGCTCGACATCCTCGCTCTCTAGCTCGTCGTCGTCGTACTTCGCCGCCGCCGCCTGCTGCCGGAACGAACGACGACGAACACTCCGCGCAGGACCGGGCTAAGCTTGAGAACGAAGCTACCGCGTGTATGTGCGTGCGTCCACCACCGGCGCGCGGCTCGATCGCTGGCTCGCTGTGGTCTTGTGGGAACTGGGAACGAAGGTGTGTGGGCTACCCGGGCGCGCTGGACTGGGGGTCGCTCTGCAAATTAAAGCTGGAGGAGGCCGGAGTGAGTAACTGAGTTGTGAGGGAGACAGAAAGGGAGAGGGTGCCTTTATAGCGAGCTAGAGCTGGCTCCGGGGTGGATCGATCCAGATTGGGTTGGAGCGGAACGAACCGGAACTTCTTTGTGTGTAGCGGAGGGAGACGAAGCAAGCAAGGGTGGTGTGTAGCAAGGTAGAGTAGTCGATTCGCTCGACTGCAACGAGAGAGGGCGAGTTGGGGCCCCGCGTGTCTCTCTCTGTCTAATCACCGCGGGTCCGCGGCAGCTCCTCTCTCATGCATGGCCCACCGGTAGGCAGCCAGTGGGCCCAGATAGCTATAATAATATGCTATGACAACCCACCACTTGCCACGTGCTCAAGCTAGGTGGCGGTGCTGTACGTGTATTTTACCGGCTGTGTACTTAAAAAGTGTCGTTCTCGTTTTCTAATAATAATAAAAATGTCAAATATATTAACTTTGATCGAATATATATATAGTATTTGTAGTGTATAATTAGTATCATTACATAGATCGTTGAAAACACTTTTATAATAAATTTATTCAAAGATACAAATACTGCTAATATTTTTAAAAATATTGTCAATCTCAAGAAAGTTTGATTTGCACGAGTTTTATAGCGATACTTTTAATGAACGGAGAGGGTACACTACAAACGGAAGGAGAAGAAGAGGTTGTCCTCTGCCCTCGCTTCATCGAGAGCTAGCGAGCACCAGCAACCATGTTCAGTGTTGACCGATCCACAAATAAAGTAATGGCGAAGCATGGGTGAGCAAACAAGTCGTTTACTCCTCATGTCCCCGCCTAGGTATTGATGCTGTAATTCGATAGATGTTACGGTGATGAACTATAAGACTACGTCTTCTTGACGCAGTACTGGCCACACACCATGAGTGCTAGATTGCACATGCTTCAAACAGCCAAAATTTGCAGCGGAAGCAGGAAAAATAGCCTAGGCCGACTCTGGTACCCTAGGGTACCATTGTATTATGAGAAAGTCCCAAAATCCGGCTTAGCCATTTTAGAAATTGGCCTAAGCCAGTTTTCCTATACTCCAAACTTAGCTCTCTATATGGAGTTTAATCGCATCAACAGGAGGAATTGAATGGTGATTTCCAATTTGTGTTATGAGAAAGTCCCAAAAACCGATTTAGTTAGTTTGATTTCCTTGCAAAATTACCTTGAGTTTTTTTTTTTTGGCCAAATATGTGTTACCACATTTGAATGATATCTACTAACTCGTAATTCTACTTGATCTAGCACAAGTGGGAGGAGGCAACAGGCAACGTGTATAATGTACTCCCTTCGTTCCAAATTATAAAACGTTTTGATTTTTCTATATACATTGCTTTTACTATATATATCTAGATATAATCTATGTCTAAATACATACCAAAAGTTACATATCTTGAAAAGCTAAAATGACTTATAGTTTGGGATGGAAGAAGTAGAATCCTCTCGTTGTCTCCGACTTTTGGACAACCATAGTCTACCGCTAGACTCTCTTAGGCCTCGTTTGGTTCCCTATGAATGATTTATAGCCGTACGGTTCCTTCGCTAATTTGTATAACGCCGGAATGGTTCTTAGCGCGGAACGGCCCGTTTTGCGGACTAACCGAACGAGGCCTTAATGAAACACGTACTAATCCACGTTAGCAAAAAGGAATCTACTGGCAGCATGCTACTAGTAGGTTACATGTGTAGGACAGCACACAGACACGAAGGGACACGAAGCACATATTTTGTACTGCGCAAATACGTGCACGACTGCGACTCTAATCATCGGGAGTCTTAATAAAACACTGCCAAGTTTACATTTGTCTGCTAAATTAAAGAAAACAGAGTTGAACACCACTGCAGCAGACTCGAAAGATGCCCCTGTCCCCGGTGCCCTGAATCTATTCGCAATCTTCTCCATCCCCGTGTGGCCGTGTCTGATGTCTGCAGACTGCGGTGTCACCAATGATCACTATTTTAGTATCTAATTCAGTGAGGAGAGGAAATGCGTATAATTAAACGCAACTAACACACACGGGCGAGGTATGCTAATGCCAGCTAGATGCCACAATACGATAATCAAGGAGCATGATCGGCGTAGCACACGAACGCTAGAGTTTGTCCATGTCGTCCAGTGTCTACGGCCGGGCGGTCGTCGCGCCACCATGCATGCATGATCTGCTATATATCTATCTGTACCGGACTACCTGTATGCCATGCCCGGCCGGGCTGCACGCGCGCGTCTACTAGCATACTGAACGCACGCAAACTATTTTGGGATGGGGGGGGCGACGTGGAACCCCCCCCGCCGCTGGATCCGTCGGACGGACTACAGCATCAGGCCCCGACCGGACAGCGTGCGCCAACCCTTCCACGTGACAGTCGCGTGGCGCATGCATGCGATGTTGCCTGCCCCTGCGCCGAGGCGGGCGCTCGCTTCCGATCCGGCCGGCCGCCACCACGTGACGACGATTGACGCCGCGCGCGCCCGGCCCGCGGGGCTGGGCTGGCGTTCATGCGATCGACGTGAATGAAGAAAGAGATCGAGAGGGAATTCTTTTTTTTTTTGGCCATCACGTCATCACGGGGTCGATCGATCGGGCGACACGACAGGCCCCCGGTGCGGCCCGCGTAGGCTAGGATTTGTAGCTTTGGTGGTCCATTATCTAAATTATTTTTTAGTCGCTATAAATTTAATATGTTGGTGCATAAATATATGAATTACAAAACATAATTAAAAAAAGGGCATACATAATTCATAAAATAGATGAGTGTAACTTTCTCAACATAGAATTGAAAATATTACATACCCATAATTGTTGATTAAATTATTATCTCCTGTTAGCACTTTAGCAATTTAGGGGTTAATCATTTGATACAGAGAGAGAGAGACGTGATAGAACTCGAGTAAAGAAGAAAGGATATCAAGATCAACATACAAGTTGTGCGTCGCTAGTCTTGCCTCTGACTTCGACGTCTGGCCGGGCGGGTCGGACGGCTGCTCTGCTGCTGCAAATACAGAGTTTGGACGGTTGGAGTCATAACTCGGAAGACCAAGGTGCAGGTCGCGGAGACGCGGACGTCACTTGGACTTCGTTTTCAGGTTCGATCGGGATTCGGCAGCAGAAGCATTTATGCCAGGCCAGCAGAGTCCACAGCCGAATACTGAGGGGTCCTACACTTTGGGCCAAATCTACAAGGTGGTCCGAGGCCCACCCTGTCCACCCTGTAGCTCCGCCAGTGGGCCCTGCTTTGGTGCTCTGGCTGCTGCTGGTCCCGCCTGTCCGTCCGTCGCGTCGAGAGCGAAACAAGCATGTGTGTGCTGGCCTAGCACTAGGCACTAGCAGGGGGCGTGGCCGCTGCGGGCTACGTACGTTGCCGCGGTCGGGTGGAGGCGGAGGCCGCGCGCGCGTGGGAACGAGACAGGGCCACGACATGCGGCGCGCGGGTGGCCGGCCGGTCGCGCCGGGGCCGGGGGAGCGCGGCCGCGCGCAGTTGGTTGCTGCTGGCCTTGCTTAGCTAGCGTGATAGGGCCGGCCGGGGTGGAGCCGCGCGGGGGCGAGAGACAGCTGCCACTTGTGGCGCCCGGCGGGCGGGGAGGCCCATGTGAGGGGCGTGCATGCATGCCGCGCGCGCCGGTGGGCTCGCCTTGGCTGATGGCGACCGAGGTCGGGCGCCTACCCACCTGCCGGCTGGTCGATGCTCTCATGGGTCGCTCACGCGGCCTTGGCGTGGGATCGCGTTACACGGCACGTACCCCTGTCGCCCCGGCTGGCTGGCTGGCTGGGTCGTACCAACATGCACGTCGATGCCCAGATCGATCGATCGACACCCTCATATGCGCAGCGCGGTAATGGATGGTTCTTACCGGTACGGCCCTATCTCTTTCATCTGCTACGACTCTATGCGCACCCAATTTTTTCCCCGTAGACTTGTGAAAGACCGGACCAGCTAGCCGAGCAGAAAACGGCCGATCAGGGGGAGTAGTAGCTCCGATCCCGATCCCAGCTGATGAATAAATGCAGGAAACAACGTGTCGGTCACTCACTCCATGTACGTAGACATGCACCGCCCGTGGACCGTGGTGCGTGCTACGGTGCTAGTACTAGTGAGCAGGCCAGGCCCTGTTTTTGACAAACCCTGGCCGGGTCGATGCACGCAGCTGCTCTGCTCTGCTGCCTATACCATGCATGCCATTGCCACAAGCAAGGAGCTCACATCACAGGTTAGCTCTCACGGATAATGCGTGTGTGCGCGTGAGGGGTGCATGCGGCACCTCTGCTTTCTGGATCCTATCCCTCTATCTGCCGTTTCCAAAACCGGTTTTTTTTCCCGGTATGCGCGGGGTGGCTGTGTAACTGTAGGCGAAAGTCATCAACAATGGACGCGTTACATGCATATATATCCATGCATGATGCATCCATGACGGCATTCTCGCATGTATGATCCATCCTCGTCTATCTTCTATCCTAAAGATTAGTCAGTACTCCCTCCATCCAAAAAAAACGCAAGGTTCAAAGATAAGATCACGTTTTTTTTACGGAGGGAGTACTTGCTCGCCGGGCCTAGCCTAAAGATGGTAATACGGCAAAGGCAATTAGGAACAGTTGCGTGTTCCCGGTCCCTCTGCAAAGTCATGCTCGATCCACTGTCCACGGGCCCAAAAAGCCTCCGTTCTGAAAAGGCAATGCCCTCTGGAGCTAGAACTGGGGTTCGATATTTAGGCCTGTGCCAGTGCCTCAGCAGCACCAG